AGTTGGATTTTGGCATAACCAACTGAAGGTAATGTGAGGGGGTTTTTATTATAGATTGGGTGCTTGGTTTTCTACATCATATGCAAACTTCTCATCTGTAATATTAGCATATATGCACTGATTTGGTTATTAAAAAAAAATAGGTGGGAATAACTTGCATTCCAAGACAGTAACTTGGAGCTTGAAAATGTGAATAAGTGGAGACATGTCTTAAAATCTCTTTTGTTTTCCTGCACAGCCGGTTTGCGCAGGAGCTTCCGATTGAGTCGTAAAGAGAAGGAGAACAACGTGAATGAAGGAAAGCAAGCAGAGCAGGCAGATGGAGCAGAGTTCCTGACATATGAAGAAGTCACAAAATATCAGCAACAGCCTGGTGAACAGCAAAGGCTGGTGGTTTTGATTGGTAAGATACACAACTGGTGCAAAATTCTTCACCTTTCTCCTTTTTTCCCTTATCACCTGCACTGCAAGAGGCTTTCTTTAGGTGTTTTGTTTGGGTTTTTTGTGGTTCCTGGTGGGTTTTTTAAAAGGTTTTTCTGGTTTTGGTCAGAAGTTGCTCTTTTATTTTAAATTACATTAAAAAACAAACCAACCAACCAAAAAAAAGCAATCAAACTCACCAAATCCTCCTAAAAATAATGATGTAGGACTATTTCTCATTTTTCTGATTCACCTTCCATCAATTCTCACTCATACATGTACACTTAAGCTATTGGAACAATTGATGAAGAGGTAAATGTTAGAATTATCTAACTTTATGCAACTTTAATGTGGTAGGCTTATCAGCTTTGTGATAAGCAAGTTTCCCAGGATGGCCTAGAAATCAAGGGTATCCCATAGAACTTGAGTGCTAAGATTACAGATTTTCTGACTTGGTGTCTGCCAAATGTTTGTCCCACAGCCATTCAAGGAATTCAGTTTGTTCCTAGTGATGTTCTTCAAAGTAGAATCTGATGGAGCAGGTCATGAGGTCTCTCATGTACAGGTTTCTTCAGGCACACTCCTGAATTATCTTATTTGTGTGAAGCTGATATATTTATTCTCTGCAGATTCCATGCCACACAGAAATCAATCAATCCATTTTATTTTATTAGGTTGCTTGGGGGCCAAATTAAGTGAGCTCAAGCAGAAGGTTGTGTCAGAGAACCCACAGGAGTATGGGGTTGCAGTTCCACGTGAGTAAAATTTACTAACTTGTGTGTGTTTATTTATTCCTTAAATGCTGTTCAATAAATATAGTGCCAGCTGCACTGATGAATGATAATTTGTGTTCTATTGATTACATGCATGTTTTAGGAGGAGTTAAAATTATTTTTCTCATTGTAATATACTATGTTTGCCCTTAATAGGTGAATAAATCACTACGTAACTTGGCACATGTGCATTTTGGAATTCTGCCAGATCAATGGGGGGTTTTTTTGAATTGTGTTTTCCCAAGTGAACAGATTGCATTTTCTCAGTGTCTGTTAAAAGAATGAAAAACTGAATACAGGAAAAAAAAATAGACTGTGACTTGCAAAAAGAGCTGGTGTGAAAAACTAGCACGTTAAGATTCAGCCAAAATGTTGTGTTTAAAAGAGGATGATTTGTCTTGAGAATATCATAACAGCTAAAGTTAAAAAAAAAAAGCAGACAGACAATAAATACACCAAGTCAAAATTTGGACATGATTTGAAATTGTTGATTAATATATCTTTGCTGTTCAAAGAAGCAAGTAAGAGTAATAGAGAAATTAGTGACTCTTGCATGGCTTTGTTGCTTCTACCAGGTATAAGAAGGATGTCACCTAATTTTTGTGTTAGTTACAGCACTCTTGGGAGCAAAACAACTTCACTTTTGGTCTTACAATTTTTGAGATTGAGTTTAATACAAAAATCTATTGTTTGATTTACATTTATGTTAATTTGAATTTGTTCAGCTACCTTGTTTGAAGTCATGAAAACGTGTCTGGAACTAAACAGAGGAAACGTTGTTTGCAAAGGCTGATATGTCTCCCATGCCTTGCTTCCATTCTCTTCTAGATACAACCAGGTCAAAGAAAAGTCACGAGAAGGAGGGAGTAGAATACAATTTTGTCTCTAAGCAATCATTCGAGACAGATGTGCAGCTAAACAAGTGAGTTAATTTAAAAACACTGCTATAATTGACTATTTAAATATATACCTCGTTCAGTCTTGCATGATGTGAACACCAAAATGGGATGTCAGGTTGGAGTAGCTGTGTTAGAAGGGTTCTGCTTTCCAAGTCAAAAGCTCTTGATTCCATCTGGACTGTCAGAGTGAACTCAAAAATCTAGTAAGAAGCAAATCAGGAATAACATAAGACCAGGAGGAGGATCCTAAGTTCAAATTTCAACCTGCATATCATAAGTGTTGTGATTGGTGAGATTTGAATCTAGTGAGAATAACAGACACTTAGTTGGGCCTACTGATTCTGTGTTTAGTGTGACAGGTAGCAAGTTTTATTCCCAAGCCTGCTTTAAAAGTGTATGATAGAGTGAATCTCTGGCTACAAAGGTCTTCTTGGGAGATTGTGTTTCCTCGGATTTTTTACAAGTCTTCCAAAAGATGGAAGGATTGCAGTCCCATTTCCTTACTAGCTTTATTCTATCTTCTGTGAAAAACATCTTTTCTTCCCCATTTTGTCAGTAGTGCTGATTAGCTGTTAGTGACATGGGAAGAAGACTATTGCTACAAAGCAACCAGAAGGAAAAAAAAGTGAAAAATAAATCCTTTCCTACCTGTCCCTGATTTTCTGCCTTTCTCCTCCTCCTTTGACTACTGTGACTTCAGCAAACAGCTGTCAAATGTTTTAAGTTAAATATTCTTTGGAGATGGTATTTAAAAATGTATTGATTTTTTTTTTTTAGATTTGTGGAACATGGAGAATACAAAGAAAACTTATATGGTACCAGCCTGGAGGCAATCCGATCTGTGATGGCCAAGAAGAAGGTTTGTTTGGTGGATGTGGTACCTGAAGTAAGTTCTGCACTTTATTTTAAAGAATGCAAATATTGCTTATTATGCTGCCAGCCTAAGTCACTGATGTTGTTCACCAGTTGTGGCTACTTACCCTCCAAAAAAAAATGAACTTGTGTCTCTTGGCAGGTGGCCTGACCTCCAGCCAAGCAGGGCAGTGGTGACAGTTCCTGGATGTCTTGTTAATACAACCCAGATGTCACTTTAGTGGCTCTCACTGTGGGACTTTTCCCTTGCTGTAGGGGTGATGTGCATCACTGTCCTTACCAGAATCAAGTCCTACACAGAATACTTGGAGCACAGTTGTTTTTTTCACTCTAGTTTCTCTTGCCTCTGAAGCACGTTACTAATCATTCTATGCAGTGCCAGTAGACCTGGTCTTAATTCCTCCATGCTGTGAGTTAATCTTTGAAATTTTGATTCAGATCTTGTAACTGGGCTAGGAGAAGACTTGTAATACTACCTCAGATGAATTCCAGGTTTAAAATTTCCAATGTTTGGCCACTTAAGCAAAGCAAACCATAACTTGCCCAGGAAATCAATTTTTTTTCTACTTTCCCCAGTATTTTTTGCCAGGTCCTTTCTCCTTGATATCACAGTGCATAGTAAGGCAGGTGTGCAGTTAAGGCCATGCTCCATATACTCTTGTACTCCAGCCAGGACACTGACAGGAACCTTTCTTCTGAAGACTAAAAGATTACTGAGGTCAAATGTATAGTACACAGGACTTCACACCACAGGGTGTCAGTGTGTACTAGTGAAACTATTGAAACCAGTTTGAGTAGATCACTGATATACAAAAAAGAAGTCTGATAACAAAAAAACATCTGTTCACAGGCAGTAAAGCACTTGAGGACTCCTGAGTTTAAGCCTTATGTCATCTTTGTGAAGCCTCTTATTTCGGAAAAGAAAAAACACGTCCTAAAATCTCCCATGTCAGAAGAAATCTCAGCCCCCCTGGTAAGTGTTCTAACTTTTAATCTTCTTTTTAGACATGAAAGAAGTATTTGGGCTAGCACTTCTATGACATGAAAGAGCTCCTCTTCCATGACAGCAAGAGTCAGAGTGGGGCTCTAAGAAGGTCTTGTGCACACAGAGCCTTTCAGCTGGAACTTCAGAATGTGATTTTTGACTCTTTATATACTCAAGTTTAAAAGTAGCATGAAGCCACTTGCTGCTCTTCCATGTGGATCTGTGTAATCATCGAGGCTGCAGGAGGGGAAGTTGCTACTGAACTCAGATAAATTGATAATCATTTTACATTCCTGATGAGCAGCCCCATCAAATGGTAACAGTCGTCACTCCAAAGTGACACCCACACTGGTGTCCCCCAGGCTGTTTATCAGGTACACACAAAATGCAGTATGTGCAGGTCTGACAAGGATCAGCTGCAAATTGGTGATGGGTAAATCTAAACAGATTTACAGTATTGCTTTGGGTAACCTGAACTTGAATTTATACACTACAGAACTTAGTTCACTTGGTAAGTTTTTGTGTAAGCCCTCAAAATTACTGAACTTTGGGCCAGTGGATCCATCACTCCTTTTCAGCTTTTGAGGAGGTCTTAGGGTTAGGCAGCAACTCTAAATGCAGTGTCACCATCTTATGCCCCTCCTGTAACATGTTTTTTTTTCCCCACTCCATAAGACCTCTTGCATTTTTTGAAACAGCTCCTTAATCTCAGTTGCAACATCTTATATGCCTTTTACTAATGGCTTTTGTTTCATTGTCTTTCCAAGTGATGACTTAGTGTGCTAATATACTTTAAAATGCTAGTAATTAAAAAGACATGCTGTAAATTTTTCATACCATCATCTTGTGTTGACCAGCAGGATGAAGAACAGCAGGAAATTCTTAATTCAGCAGCATTCATTGAAGAGCAGTATGGCCATTTAATTGACACTGTACTGGTGAAAGAAGATCTCCAGAGTGCATGTAATCAGCTGAAAACTGTGTTAGAGAAGCTAAACAAGGATTCATTTTGGGTGCCAGTCAACTGGGTGAGGTCATAGCTTGTTATCATGTTTAAGGGAAAGATTGTATAAAAATGTCTTGTAAATGAGTGAATTAGAAAAGGGAAATATGTCAAAATCACTTCAAAACTGCTGGTCTGTCTAAAAGGCAATATATAAAGACTGTATGAGGAAAAACTAACAAAGTTAAAAGCTGACACTGCCTCCCTGAATCAAAATTTTGAATAGCAGCTGTCATTTAAATAAGTCAGTCCAATCTTTTACTGCTCTTTAGACTGTAAATAGTGTATTTTGTACAGTGAGGTTTCACAGAAGGTCCCACAATTCCAAAGCATTTTCGTGCTGAGACACTGACCAGGTGGAATTTTTGTCCTTTGGCCACAACTGTAGCCACAAAATCAGAATCAGGTAGTCTTTGGGAACAAGCTCCTTCTTCTGCCCTCTTTCCCAGTCTTTTCCTACTGACACAGGACAAATGTTAAACAACCCATGAATGCACCTGTATGATGAGCCAGCTGATAAAACAGACACTTTTTTTTAGTCTATGTGAAAGTAACTGCACGTGGTTCTAAAATACAACATTTAAGCCGCCCGTTTTCTACAAGACATCTTTGGAAGTGCTACCTGATGGGATCCAGTCTTGACACCAATGTAGCAACTCCTAAAAGGAGGAGGCTGAAGGACAAAGTAGCTGAGCTACAGGTGGAAATCATCATCCCTGCAGCATTTGTGGCTGCCTTTGCTCCAAATCTGGTAAAAGCTTCCAGAGCATCTAATTGGCCTGAAGAAATCTTAACTGGTAGAGGACCTTGTATACATATTTCAGGAGACTTGAATATACAATATTATTAGATAGGTCTTAATAAGAAAATGCAGAGATGATTCTGGAAGTACCTGTGCTCTGTAATTATTTGGGGGGTGGAGGGAGAATATTGTACAGGTGCATGTTAGCTGTAACTAGTTCCTGGTTTTGCTTGCCTGCTGTGCTCTAATATTTTCTGTGTACTGTGCTCTTTAAACGACCTTTTGGTGCACCAGTCTTGTTCCTTGCATCTTGACAGTATGATGTTATTCTTGTTCCATGACATTTAGCAGAACTAAACAATGCATATTAAAAGCACATTTCTTACATACCAGTGTCACTGAATCTACATTACCTCTAGCTCAAAAAGTTGTATGGAACAGCTACACATATCCACCTTCTCCAAATGTATGCCATGTAATATTTAAATAAGTGTAATATTTTAAAAACTGTTTCAGTAACAGCATTTCAAACTAAGTAATTTTATGACATTATGAAGTGAGCAGATTAATCTTACCCTAGATCTATATTGCAGGTTACAAGCAGGTTTTTATAGTCTGCAAGACATAAACCATGTTCAGAAGATACAGATTTAATTTAAAGAAAACTAAGGGTCAGAATTTATTTAAAGCAAGGTTGCCATCTTAACATCTTAAAATATTTTGAATGACTAGCAGTAAATAAAGCTGTATGTTTATGATCAAACACAGCCTAACAGTAGAAACTATATGCATTAAGAGAAGCAAGGCAAGTTACATACAAGGTCCACCTTAAGTTGCAATAACTAAAAACTTAAGATACCAAGATACAATGCTAAGATACCAGGTGTAAAAGGTAAAAAGATAAATTCATAATGGGATTGGCAACAGAAAGTCTTCCATAGCACATTTTCTATTAAATTTAGTTGGAGCCTTGCAGTTGCTGAGTGAGGACAGGAATGTGAGTTTGCAGAGAACCACTCTGATGGCAAAAAGGACCCACAGTGTGAGGCAGTCCAAAAGGATGGCTCCATTTCACCACTGATCCTAAATACAAAGTATTTAAGAGCAGCATAGGGTAACCTATTATGTACTGTATGAATAGTGCACTGCACAGAAGTGGGGGATTTTCCTGCCAAATGTTAATAGATACACATCTTCATGACAACCCTAAAATTAAGTAGTAAGTCAGCTCACTGTCTGGGGACAGGTAGCAATTTTAACTTTTTAAAATCAGGAAACTATGTCCACTGCTCAGGGTAATTCTGACTGTTAATTACATTTAAGGGAACTTGGGTGCCTAAAATGGGTGCCTAAAACTCCCATGCCATCCCAGGGAAGAGAAGTTTTTCAATATTCCAAACTGGAATACTACCTTATTTCTGCTAAGGCAGGAATTCCAGAAAAAGTCCATGTTGACTGCCAGTACAGCAAGAGCACAACACTCTCAGCAGCACTATGACTGAATAGTGAAAAAAATCTGAGAGGTACCAGAGAAATATCTGCAGATAGCAGCTGTGCATCAGGGGAGGAGAAATTGGATTTTGTTAATGAACACAAATGTATTTTGCTACCCAGTTTGTATTTTGGATCTGCACAGCTGCTGGCAGGTCAAACATGGCACAGATTAGTGCTTGGAATCCATCCCCCCTCCCTTTTTTTTTTTAGGTCCCCTCCATTCAGGCAGAACAGCCACCTGTAGATTTAAGTAAGTGGACAGTAAGTACCACATAAACTTTTATGCTGCTGGGCTGAAGATTCCATTAGCTGGACTCCCCGTTTCTCTGTGCTTTTATCCCAAAGATTTGGTGTCTGCAGGATCTTTCTGACTAGTTCCTCAAAGGCATGTTGCACTCCATCCTGTGTCTTGGCACTGGTCTCTGGTGGAGGGGGGAAAAAATATTTTACCTTATTTGCAGGGAGTATATTTCCACTTTGTAAAAAAGTTATTTGGGGACCAGCGAGCTGATGTGATTTTTTTTTTAATGAGCCAATCTCCTCTCCATTCTTTCTTAAAGGCACACTTAAGCCTAATAGGGTAAACAAAAATGCATCTTGCTGGTTTCAAGAGAATATAAAATTCATGCCTATATAGTATATGCAGTAAAATGTTTCAGAGGAAAGTGCTTCTAATTGGAACCTACATCCATCCATATGAACTAATGCAGCAAAAGGAACCCCCATAAATAGGTGCTAAAAAAAAGGCAAATCAACCCCTCAACCTGAAATACAATTGTACACTTCATTCATGCTTAGCAATCCCAAAATAAACATAGAAATGGAGAAGTTTTTGTCACAGAGGTGCCTACCTATAAAAAGCAATGAGCGTTTCCTAGCAAACTGGAGTCCTTCTTTTCTCTCTACTTCACGATCAGGCTGCAGAGACAAATGAAGAACATGGCTAAAATAAGCTACACTTGCCACTTTTAGGAAGTACCTGGAAAAGCATCACTGCAGAAGGGAGGTTTTGTTGAAAAGAAAAAAAAATGTCTGCAATATGTAGTAATCGAGTAGATTTTCCCACTCTACAGACAGCTTACTGCTAGGCCAGCTGGTACAGGGTCAGATTGAACAGCAGCAACATCAAATCAGAATCTCTTTGAGTTGGAAGGGATCATCCATTTCCAACTCCTGGCCCTGCACAGGACAGCTCCAAGAATCACACCGTGTGCCACATCAGTAGGAAATGAATGTGTTGCTGTGTTCTGAATCAACGAGGAGCAAGATACATCTCCAGAAAGGAGATTTCAGTAGGCAAGTAGCCAAAAAGGTGTGTCAGAGGTTCTGAAACTGGGCAGATTTGGAAGGGGGCAGAAGAGAACCTAATTCAGGATAGCCACACTGAAAACCTCTTGTAAAGCAAGAGTGAAGCATCTCACCATGCAACAGGCATCTAAATATGTCAAAACACCCCAGAAACAAACAGCAACCAGAGCACCTCACAGCCACATTAAACTCTTTAACAATACCTGCTTCTAAAATGATGTCATAAGTGGAGCCTGCCCAACTCAGTTACAGAGCATATCACCTCCTCACACAACAGGAGATGAGTCACTTACTGCATTTTATCTCCCATTTATACCCTAGCAGGAGTAAGCAATCTGGGGAATAATGTAAAAGGATGCGTTCCTAAACTGACCTTATCAGTTTTATTGCCAACCAACATCTTCACAGTGTTGCTTTTGGAGGTATAGATTTCCAGCTCCTTCAGCCAGCTTTCTAGTCCTGTGAAAGTGTCTTTTCTTGTAACATCGTACACTGATAACAGAGGAGAAGATGCTTAACAGCTGTAGAGTCTTGAACAATGTTCACTTAGAACTTAGTCCACACTACCTAACTACTGCCCTGAAAAAAAAACAGGGAATTACAGAAAGAAACATCAACCATTTCCCAGAGCTGGAACACCCTTGCTGGGCTCACCCAAAGTCACTATGGATTACAGAACAAAAGCATCTCATTGAGTGAAAATTGGACTTACCAACTGAAATCTTCTACTTGTTGGTAGTTCTGCACTGGGCCATGCAGAATATTTTAAAATAGGTGTTTTGTCACCTCATTTCATGTGTAACTACATGCACGTGCTGCTGCTAAAAACATGGACTGAGTACAAAGCAACTTTTGGGCACTGGTAACTTCTTAACTGCATTCTTGTAAACGACTGAGGTTTAAAAAGCTGAATCACAGTCAGAATATTTTGTACAGCAAGGTGTTCAGCCTTCACAAACCCTGAAATTGAGAGTCCTTTTGTTTTCTAATTGGTGTTGTCACACAGAAAAGGCCTGGCCATCCATTACCTGTGTACAAACCTCAAGTCAGCATAATCAAATCAATAGTTTCTGGGGGAAAAAAAACTAAAAACATCACGGGGAAGAGAACATAACACAACCCCCAGTTTGCCTTATTACCAGAAAATCACTGAATCACTGAAAACTACAAAGCTAATAATTTATCCACTCAATACCTTACAGTGTGACATCTCTGTTTTTTTAATTTAAAATATTTTGAAGCAGTGCTACTTCCTGCCAGCAGTTTTGCATACTCAGTGTTTGAGCTAACGAGCAGTAAATGTTGTAAAGAACATATAAGCATTCCTCTGATTCTCTCAGATAACCTCCTTTTGTAAGGGCATGCACAGTTAGGAGTAAACAAAGAGCACAGTTTCTGTAATCATATTTTTTGTTCCATGTGCTTCGTACCTAAAACAACCCCTTGAGCTCCTCGGTAATAACTGGGAGTCAGTGTTCTAAAGCGCTCCTGTCCTGCCGTGTCCTACAGTGGGGATGGGGGGGAAGAAACCAAACACACAAAATCAAATATATTTAGAACAAAAAAAGTAATTTAAACTACACACGATAAGCAAATTTAAAATTTTCCTGACCAGTAAGGATACATGAAACTGTAAGATGTGAGAATGAGCAAAGCTCAATGGAAACATTGGCAGCAGCAACAGAAAATGGTTAAGGAGGGGTAGAAAAGCGTGGAGAGGATTTGAGTGAAGGTTAAAGCAATAAGCAGACACCTGAAACATGAGTGAGACAATAAGAAAGTCAAAGGGACTCTAGAGAAATCATAAAAGGCAAGCAGCCATGCAGTCAGGCTTGATCAGTGAAAAACCAGCTGAACTGAATGAGGGGAGGAGTAAACTGGTTTTCCAGTGAGAGACACTGCAGGAAAGGAGACACAGCGGTTCCAAAGATCTCCCTTTGCTCCTCCACACCACAGGGAAGAAGAATCCAGTTAGAAAGAACTACTTCAAGACTGCTATGAATCTAAGCAGATAAGAAATTTAAAATCAGTAGTTTCACTTAATCGTTACTGCACTATGTCACACTTGCTCTCTCGAATAAGTGAGCTACTAAGTGCAATATGAAACTCAAAAAACCCCCTCAGAACAAACAATAAGGAGTGGAAAAAAAATCACGCAAATATGATTTTTTTAAAAAAAATTTATTTACTTTTAGGTAGAGTTTACAATTCATAGACTAACACCTATATTGTAATTTATTTATTTTTGTTTTAAAAAAAACCCTAAAGTTGGCAATATATTTACTTAATTCAAATTATTGCTGCTAAAGAGATTATAATCTTAGGCATCCACACACACATGGACACTAAAGCAGAAGCCTCTTTTTGACTTCAACACACTGTTTATGCATTAAAGTTTTTATTTAACACTGTACAACTGGACTGGTGTGTCACTGTCCCCCTCCCAGCCCAAAGCACATTTGTGCTCTGCTTCCAACCGTCTCAATTTCTTAATTAATAATGGTGTTTTCCTTCCCAAATACCTATGGCCATACACATAAAACCTCTCCTTTCTAGGGCTCTTTCATTCTTAGAAGAATAAATGTGGTGCTTTGTATTATAAATAATCCGGACCACACAGCTGCAGATGCTGGAAATACAGCATCAGGAAGTTAAGGACAAATGCTCAAGTCTTGCAGTAAATCTGAACCAACCTTTAAATAGTTCAAGACCAAGTATATTTTTTTGCATGATTTTAACCAAAATAAATCATCTGGACTGTTTCTGGTGTAGTATACACAGAATAGCTGCACAATCCCTACAGGAAATCACCCAACTCATCACCCAGAACATCACTTTTCTGCAGTTTACTCAACTTATGTCCTAGGAGTGCTTCTGGGTCATATAGGCATAGAACCCTCCCATCTTCAGCAGTTTAACACCTCACAGAGCCTTTGAGAGACCCAGTTCTGTAACTGCAGGAAAGAGCAGCCAAAGTCTCTACTAGAATTGAAGGAAGTCCCAAACCTTGACCAATGAAACTTTTAGAAGTGTTCTGAAAGGACACTGTTTGCAACTACTGCTGTATGATCGTGACAGACACTCTTCATGCGTTGCATCATAAATATACAATCTCAACATGCAGAAGACTTGAGCAAGGGAGGAGGAGGAAGAAAGAGGGGGGAAAAACAGGAAAACACAAAAAGAAGCTTTGCACATCTGTCGAGAACAAACCTATCCCTATCTGGAACAAGACCTACCCATATGGCAAGCTGTACCGCATGGCCGTCCACCACCATCTTCTTCACTCTAAAATCAACACCTGAGACGTAAGGAGGGAAGGCTTGTTAGAAGGAACTGTTCACACGATCTGGGCTCCCCAACCCTTCCTCTCGCCCGTGGCACCCCAACAAGACCGTCCCCAGCTGGCGGCCGGGCGGACCCCGCACTCACCGATGGTGGGTTTGAGGCTCGGCTCAAACGCGCCGTCCGTGAACCTCCGCAGGAGGCTGCGGGGGGGAAAGAAACCGCGACTTCAGGTCGGCTCGGCTCGGCTCAGCTCAGCCCAACTCAGCTCAGCCCAACTCAGCTCAGCCCAACTCAGCTCAGCCCAGCTCAGCCCAACTCGGCTCGGCCCAACTCGGCTCGGCTCAGCTCGGCTGAGCCCAGCCCAGCCCAGCCCAGCCCGGCTCGGCTCAGCTCAGCCCGGCTCAGCTCAGCTCGGTGCCGCGCGCGGGACCCCCGCGCGAACAGCGGCGGCAGCACCTGGACTTGCCCACGGCGCTGTCTCCGACCAGCAGCAGCTTCAGGGTGAGGCCTGCGGGGTCCATCCCCAGCACCGCACGGGGCCGGGTTCAGGTCGAGGTCAGGGCGCCGCCACAGCCGCAACCGCCGGGCGCCCTCAGGGCCCCTCGCGCCGTCCCGGCCCCGGCGGCGGCAGCAGCTGCCGCGGCCCCGCCCATGAGGCGGTGGCTGGTGCCGGGCGGGGCGCGAGCGGGCCCGGCTGGAGCCGCTGCGCCAAGGGGCCTCCGGCTGGCGGCGGAGGAGGAGGGTCGGCCATGGCCGAGTACCAGATCTCGGTGGAGGAGCTGAACGACCTCCTGGCCAACGGCAGCGGCTGCTACAGCCTCCCCAGCGCGCACAGCAACGAGGTGGTGCCGCGCATCCACGTGGGGAACGCGTGAGTGCGCCGGGCCGGGGCCCGGGCGGGCGGCTCGGCGGGGGCGAGGCCGGGCCCGTGTGGGGCGGCCCGTGCGCCGGGACCCGCGGGCGGAGCCGGGCCGGGCGGTTTGAGCCGGGGCCAGTTCCAGGCTGCGGGGTGGAATCTGCCGGATCTCTGCGGGGCCTGTGCGCCTTCCGCGGCCTGGCCCGGGCCGTGCAGCCCAGGCAGCCGTCAGTCCTCCTGTCAGTCCTCCTGTCCAGTCCAGCCTGTCCGCTGTCTGAGGCTCCTCCTGGTGACTGACACAGCAAACGTTAGGACAGCTCATAAATGGCATCTGCTACAGTGTTCAGCACCCTGTTGAATTCCCAAATTCCATTTGGTAAAAATGTCCTGGTTATGAATGCCCAATCTTAGTTTTCCTGTCTGCTCTAATGTGTGTGGGTAACTTGTTCTTTGTTCTTAATGTGCTAGAACTGCAGCTGTGTTGTAAGGAGTATGAAAGGCCTTGTCCCAAAATTAATATTAAATTTAGTGACTGTAAGGGAAGTGGTGGTGAGGAAACAATTTTGCATGAACATAACAGTGGAAAATAAAATATGTTAATATGCTGGCATTTTTGCTGTTAAAAACTTGGTCTATTTGTTTATAATCCCATATGGCATTGGTTTATAGCTTCATGTACCCTTAATTGCTGATGAATAGTTCTCCAAGACTTGTGTTTTGTGCCTGGTAAAATCATCTCTGTTCAAAAGAAACACCTCTTACTAGTGTTACTCGTGGGATGAGGAACTCTAAATCTTCCATACTGAGAATGGACAAGATTCTGTGATTTTTTTTCAGGAACCAGATGAAGCTGATGTTAGCATCTCTCTGCTATTTGGAGAAGCTAGCATTTCAACATTGAACATGATGCAGCTGGAATGAAATGTTAAGGATGAGAGAGATCCAAGGACTGTTTGGGAAGGGAGAAACAAATGGCATACAAATACAGTCTTTTTCACCTCTAGCTGTGTAAGAAAATAATCTATAAAATCTGCAAAAATCATTCACTGGGAATGAGTTTGCCTCCAGGGGGGCCAGTCTGTGTTGCCAGATTCTTCCATGATTCCAGGATTGAAGTTCCTATTGATCCTGACCACTGTCAGAAATATGCTGATCTATATAATATTAATTAAACCATGTACTCATCCTAGTAAGTGTAGAAACCCCCAGCTGGATTAATACTTTTTGGTTTGGCCTTGCACTGTAGGATTTTTGTGTTGCAAGCAGAATTCCCCAGACACTGATACTTGCACCATGGCACAGATGATGTCCTGCCAGATGGAAAATCTGTCAACATTTGTTTGGGTAATGAAGTCTTACAAATAATTGGCTCATTGCCATAGTTGCTTGGCACAGACAGCAGAAAATGTAGAAGCTTCACTCATGCATCAGGGTTCATCTGCTTACACTGAAATTTAAGGGGTGAAGAGTCATCAGGAGCAAAGGGACACTCAAGATGTTTGAATTACATGAAAATTGTGAGTGAATGCACTCAGAGATTCGTGTAGCTATAAACCAACTGATTTGGGTATTTACTTTAAAATTTTAGAATACCTACATGTCCAGCCAAAAGCCTTAGGTGCATTGCCATCTCACAGAAACTTGTCCAAAATAATACTGCATAAAGGCTTGTCTGGAGTTCAGCTTAATATTAAGACTCTTTGTATTTGCAATTTATGACTTGGGCTGTAGGGAGATTTTCCAGAATATTTCTGTTTCTGCATCCAGTAGACACATATTGAAAGCTGCTTTTATAAACAATAAAGGTATTTTTGTCTCTCTAGCCTACCTCTTCTCACAAAGTGTGTAGGAACCAAGTTATCTTTCATCCAAAGCCTTCTGTCACATTCTGCTAATGTTGACCAGTGGGCTTAGATTTTACTGGGAGACTACAAAATGTGATAAAACATATATGTTGGGTTTTTTTCTTCCCAGAAAAGTGAGGCAAATATTGTGACTGACATATGGAAATAACCAAATTCAAAATGAAAAGTAGTAGGTTTATGACAAAAAGGAGTCGGTGGTCTCATGTTATTTAATGGTTGTCTCCTCTGACTATAGATTTCATTCCAGGGCACGAGTAGAGATTTGTGCATGGTCAGTTGTGTTACTGAGCAGATGGATTGTTTGCCATTGTACAATCTGGAGCTTTTATCAGAGCTTATGGCATTAATTGGACCTAATTAATTGTCATCATCATGATTATTATGTAGCATTGTGCTCAATTGTTCACTAACAGGGTAGGTCGCTCTTTTAGCCACCTATAAATGGACCATGGTGGTTTTGCTGCAATATTTGGAAAACCTGAGGAGTTAGAAAGGGCTTAGCTGACCTAAAAGTAAGCTTCTTAAACATCACTCATCTAGATTCTTTTACATTCAGATGTTGGCTTCAACTAAGACACTAAACATTGTAATATTTGTGATGAAAACACCGAGTGTCAAAGACTGAATTATATCACCATGTTACTGGCCTTTGGATAGCCTTGCTAGATCTTTGCATGACTTCAAAGGTGTTGAATAGCACAGGGGCACAGGACTACCCTGACCTTTGAAAATGCAGTAACATTTATTCACAGTTACTTTCTATCTTCCTGTGGCCCAAGAGGAGCTAGTGCTATTTCACAGTGCTTAAAATTGCCCCCTAAAATGTCATTTTGTCTGGACTTGTCTGCCAGTGTAGCAAGTACTGCTTACCAAGTTCTGCAACACTGGTAGCTGAGGATAGAGGCCTTTTATAACTGGGTTTTAAATTATCTTATGTGAGGGGGTTTTAAATGATCTTATGTGGATAATGGTTAATCTTAGTGTTATCTTTGGGCTTTGTGTTATCTTCTCCAGTATTTTCTCGCTTTGGTGAGAATTTTACGTTCAGAAAGTTATAATTTTATGCTGCAGTAGGATCTAGCAGGTTAAGTTTCATGTGTGCTCTCCTCAGTTGTCAGCCAAGAAAGCAGCGTTCTCTCATGCACGAGTAGCGACCATGGCTCTAAATATTTTGGGTAATTTTTAATCTGCAGCTAATTCACTTCTGGGCGCAATATATTGGATATCTGTTAACAGAAAAATCAAAACATCATAAATACTGAGATGATTTGCCAGATTCTAATGGTTTTCTTGATTTTGTCACACAGGTTCATAGCCAAGAACATCATGAGGCTGCAGCGTCTGGGGATAACCCATGTTCTGAATGCAGCAGAAGGGAAATCATTCATGCATGTGAACACTAATGCAGAGTTCTATGAAGGCACAGGCATCAGATACCATGGCATTAAAGCTAATGACACACAAGAATTTAACCTCAGTCGCTATTTTGAGGAGGCAGCTGATTTTATTGAGAAAGCACTTGCCCAGAAGGATGGTAAGGCCAACTGATATATCTTTCTGCCATGTTTTCTGTGCACTGCATATATTTCTTAGCAATTTACTGTTTAAAATGGTTCTTTGCTCAGATTATCAACAGAACAACCATTGTCAAGAATTCATATCAAGGCCCTGGATCAAAGACACAAGAACACAGAAAAAGACAACTTAGTCTTCTGTTCATACATGTAGGTCTCCAGTATGTGGCAAAGGGAAATCTATCTCTGTAGGGGTGACTTTGAAAAGGGAAACAGCTGCTGCAGCTTATAATAGTGCCTGTCTGGGAAGATATGTTTGTATTTTTCCTTAGAAGTGTTAAATCACATGAAAAATCATTTTAAAAAGTAAGTTCAGTGTCTAAAAGTTGGTTTAGGACACTAGATCTTAAAATTCAAGGGCAGAAGTGATACAAGTAATGCACTGCTGAAGAATACTCACGTAACCTGTTATGTGGGTTTTTTCTAAATGTACACTAAGGATAGGGACTGTCACCTTGAAGTTTTTATTACATTAAGTCATTACATTATTTTATGTGTTGATTGCCTCTTTATTTCGTAGAATTGCAGGAAAAGTGAAGGTTATATTTGCAATGTTGTTGATTGCCACATTTCTCTACAATGTATTTCCCCAGAGCAGAAATCCTGGGACATAGTGCAGTGGGACAGATGGTGTTTGTTATCATCTGACTATTTCAGCATACCAGTTATTTCTACACTTGCTTCATGATTTTGAGCATGAAAAAGGAGGAATGAGTAGTCCAGCAATTCTAGAAGTTCTTTCTCTAAAGTGGGCAAAGGGTTACTGGAGCTGTGATGTGGAAGTAAATTTTACATCCAGCTTGGTGGAACTCACCAGCTGCAAAAGGACTGACATTATTTTGCTTTCATGGCCGGGCTTCATGAACAAAGATTTGGGAAGGGCTCTACCCACGTTTGTTACAGGTGCACTGGTGGCTGAAAAGGCCAATACAAGACAGGCACGTCCGGTTGCAAAAGGCACAGCAGAAAGACTCCTTAGGTGGTAAATTCTGCAAGGCTCGATTCTTTCTGCGTTGTCTTTTCTCCTCAAGAGTGATACTGGTGCTTTCTCAAAGGAAACAGCAGCGTTATAGATGGTGTGTCTCCAGGCCTCCCGTTTGGAGGCCAGAGTAGACCAGTTATGGTGATCAATCTGGCCAAGGCCGAGATGTTGTTTCAGGGAGTCCTTGTATCTTCGGGGCTCCTCTCATGCGGCAGCCGGTGGCAAGTTCACCATAAAGCAGGTGAACTTTATGGGAGGGGGTGGTTGGTCCTTCATCCTGGAGACGTGCCCTGCCCAGCACAGCTGTGTTCTCAGCAGCATGGCCTCAATACTTGTGACTGCTGCTTGTTCCAGAACAGATGTGTTGGTCACATAATCTGACCAGTGGATGTTCAGGATTGTACGGAGGCAGCGTTGATGGAAGCGTTCTAGGAGACGCAGGTGGTGGCGGTAGATGACCCATGATTTGGAACCATATAAAAGAGTAGACAGCACTATGGCTCTGTAAACACTGAGCTTGGTACTTTTCTTCAAGTGTTTATTTCACCAGACTCTTTTATGGAGTTTTCCGAAGGCACTATATGCCTTTGCTAACCTGTTGTCTATCTCCCCGTCAATCTCACCATCCGAGGAGATGAGGCTGCCTGGGTAATTAAACTGTTGGACTGATTTGAGCTCTGAAACTAGACTCACAGCTAACAAGTATAAACATTACATATTTTTACACAGTCTATAAGTAAACATTACAGCTTCCAACCATGTCAAACAAGGCCTACAGAAAGCAGGAAAAAATTGTTCAGAGAAATCTCTCTATTCCGGCCACAATACCCCGGCTCTTTCATGTTGCTTTTTGAGCACCTGATGCCTTAAGCCCATAATGGTTTTCTTATTTTTCTACCTTATGAGTTTTATAGGTAACAGAAGTAGATTTTAGAAACCCTTTCTCCCTCCTACCCTAGCACCCCTTAGTTTATACATTCCTTAAGCCTCTTACCCCATTCCACACCCCCCATATCAGCCCATCCCTGTATCCAGTAGAAAATGTTTAGTCTCTTAGTCAAGGCAAGCCTGTCTTGTTTGGGGAACGCTTGTATCTTGGCCTAAACCACAGGACAGAGTCAAGGAACTGGGTGACTCTGCTCTCTGTACCCCGAAGATGATGAAGGATGATGAAGAGGGGGTCCCAAAAAGACCCTGGACCCAATTCTGGGAGGTGGGCCAGGGGGTGGACCAGAGCAAAAGTCAGAGGGTGGACACACTTGGGATTGGCCATATATTGTTATAAATGTAACATCTCGGGCACAGCCCGGCGCACGCGTCGTTTACCATCTATTGCCTTGGCACAATTAAATCCTTTCCTTATCTTACCCCAGCTAACGGCTCCTAGATTTTTTTTCTAAGCATCAGCTGAGCAGGCATCACACCCATTCCCGTATAACCCCAATCCCACCCTGTGTTCCCCGCAGCACAGGTGTTCGTGCACTGCAGGGAGGGTTACAGCCGCTCCCCCACGCTGGTCATCGCCTACCTCATGCTCCGGCAGAACATGGATGTCAAGACTGCCCTGTGCACGGTGCGGCAGAAGCGGGAGATCGGCCCCAACGACGGTTTCCTGAGGCAGCTCTGCCAGCTCAACGAGCGACTAGTGAAGGAGGGCAAACTGAAGCCCTAGGACGGGAGAGCGCTGTAGTACTTTTTTTTTTTAAGTTTCTCAAACCTTTAGAGGACATCTTAGGTGCTTTAGAGGCCCCCCTCAAACCCCAACCACCAAGCTGAAGAGAGACAGAATTCCTGCTCGTCCGGTGAACTCTGGGACTGCCTTTCGAGGTGGCGCGAAATTGTGTCGCCGTTTGGAGCTGTTGCAATAAAGAGGTGTTTTTAGAGGGATAACTCCAGCTATCTTCACGTGTATGTCAGAGCCCCTGAAGACTCCATAGCATATGTGGTTTGCACTGACACTGAATGTGATTCATTTAAGCTTTGTAATGTATCTCACCAGAGCACGGGTTTCTGAAAGCCCCAACACATCTCTTCACTCACTCTTAACAGAAGCACTGTAATTTCTAAAGCTTCTTTTTCGTGCACAGAGGTGCCTGATGTTTGAATGTAGGAGCTGAAAGGAATGGAGAAGTGTATATACAAATGCACAGATGCACTGGTTTGTAAAATGAAGTGTATGCAGTGTTTGGTGTGGATTTATGCAATACACAGTGTGTAATAGTAAAGCCATTCAGAGCCCACACTTGATGCACACTTATTTCCAAGAATAGTTGTACCTCTTGCTGTTGTGATTGACACGAAATAGTGTGTTATTAAATGCCCTTTTATTTTTGTTTTGAAGTCATACTAGAAAAAATGTCAACAGCAAATGCTGAGGAAAAGTCTTGAGCAAGGAACAAATAATGTTTGTATTTAGGAGTGCTTGTACTGGATGTATGATAAAGTCCTAAGTATCAGAATGTGATGGCTTTCAAAGTGTCTTTATTCCTTACTTACTATCACTATTTATCAACATAGAATAGAATGAGCACACATACTTCCAGTGGGGCAGCACAGGTGTGCTTTCAAAGCAGTTTGCAGAAGTATACTCTTGACTCCTTGGATTGCTTGCATGGCATCATTAAATAGCAATTAGAATTGTAACCTACCACAGTGTATAGGAAATATTTACTTTCTATTAAAATAAATGATGTCTTGGTTCTGTTTGGCACACAGATGAGCTGAGTCATTGCAATGTTGAGAGAGGGAGCTTTGTTTACTGTGTGCCTGACTTAGTGTTTAAATATGTACCTGTGAGTTGCAGGACTGTATCAATGCAAAGGATCTCCCACTGCAAACTCAGAGTTGTTGGTTAAACTAACGGAAACCAGGGTGTTCCCCTTTTAACCTGTGCTTTAATGTAGTTCTAGACTGAAAAATCTTAACCCTACTTTAAACAGAAACACTCTTCATGTTAGTACCACGTGTCATCCCAGAGCTAGTTTTGTCTACTCAGTTCAGTAATCAAAAATCACAAAGATCATACATTGTTTTACTTCTGGTTATTGGGGTTGTGTGGTTTGGGGAGGTGGGAGTGGCAAGGGAAAGTTCTGTGTAGCTAGGTAACTTTATTGAAATTAAACTCCAGAGGTGATTGTTCTGCTTGAAGACCTAATTCTGAACAGCCTTATTCTGTTTCCTTGAACAGGATGGAACTGCCAAATCCAGTAGCCTTTTCTCTTTTGTGTCCCTTAAAGTGACAAGTGGGGAACACTCTGCATAATGTTTCCTATCACCCCTCTACAGTCAGTCAGTGTTCAGTGCTTGCTTTGAATCAGGATGGTTCAATAATAATGAGCAGTAATCAATTCGATGGGCTAATTACACACCTGTTTGCTTTCTCCCCTTTTATCAGGATTAAATTAATTGCTTCTTCAAAATTCCTAGTTATTGATTTCATGCTGGGTGGCTTGGGAAATAGAATACTGTCCTTATCTTTTCTACAATACTGACTTTTTCCTACTGCAGTCTTATTTATAAATTATCCTTTTAAAATTTTACTATGAGCATAGATTTTTATAATTTTTTTGGTCTTGTCTCACACCATGTATTCTTAATACCTATCTGCACTGCAAGGGAAAAAAAATGGAGATTCATGTGCATTCACTTTGTCTTTTGCCTGTTACTTGGAAGTCAAAATTCCAATCCATTAAAGAGCTAAGAAACCGTTAGGCATTAGAACTTTGTTACCCTTCCATAAATTGTAAAAAGATAGGAGTTGTCAGATTAAAGCCAGAATGGTTTATTAATATTGAGTCTGTTCACCTTACGGCAATATTTTTGTACTTGTCAGTATCAAAAACAAATCAAGACATAGGGGAATGTTTTTATATTCAAGATACTCTTTTTACTTCATAGGACATTCTCACTTTAGTGGTAACTTCAGTGGCACTCTGGCCCATTTGTCTCAGTATAATAAAACTGATTTAACAAATGTTTTGTGATATGAGGATGGAGAAGGATGAGTAAGACCATGTTATAAATTGGTTTTACAAATTGAGACAATAATGTCCTATTTTAAGCTTCTGATAGGCAATTCAGAAATGAAACCATTTCTATCTCTGCTTTTAGAGTAAGCTAAAAATAGTTAGAATGTCAGACCACTGCTCCATTAATGGATCATGTTGCTGGCTTAGCTGACTCACCAGATGGAGCTATAGGCTTGTTATTCTTCTCTGGACAGTCATCACTGAGTCCCTGAACAATACTATTGTATGAATCCAGTGTGTGCTTATCACTGGAAAAAAAGGCAAGCCACCAGGATGATTTATCAGACTCTGGAGGGAGAATACTAAGATTCCATTTATTCTTGGCTACTTGCATGAGATCACACAACAGCATTCAGGCTGTTATATTCACTGCTGTGTAGTATGTGACACAGCAAAATTCTTATGAGGCACATAAAAGTTGCTTGAGCAAGACTGTCTTAGCAGCATCTTAGGAAAAAACCTGTTTGAGAAGCAAATAAGTTCTTTATCATGTTAAAAACTGGGCTAGTATCTTTTCTGCTGTTGTTCTTTGCTGAAAAGGAGGAAGATATATTGACACAAATTTGTTTTTCAACTCCGAGAGCTGGCAGTGTTCTTATACACAGAGCTTTTCATCTCCAAGGCCTTTTATGAAGATTAATGAATTCTCACATCACTCACATCACCAAGCATAATCATGTTGTAAGGGAAAAGAGTGTCCAATCCTAATACAGGTTTAGCATCCAAAAATGGAATTACAATGAAACATATTGTGGCTGCTAGTCCTGCATTTGGACGCTGTAATTCTAAATTTGAAATAACTTCGTGAAATGTTCCCTCCCCCTTTCTAACTTCATTAACTCTTAAGTACAAAATTCCTGGGCAGTGTGTAAAATATGAGCCATTGACCACAGATAAGCTTAAATTGAACACTTACATCTTGGGGCCTGGATATGGAAGAGAACCCCTTTGGCCCAGGTGTGGACAGAGTGAGCACCTGAAGTTGGAAGTGACAGAACCAATTTCAGAAACTGGTTTGGATGTGCCTGCCTTCATTGCAGCCTGGCAGTGCAAGCACTTTGGGACAGATGCCTGAGTTAGAAAGCAGCAGCAGCAGATTCAGGCAAAGTACCTGATGCCAGTTTACCCCTTGTGCCTGCTCCCCTCATGTGTCTGATTCCTTCTTGGCAGAGTGTGCTGGTTTTGGCTGGGATAACACTTAATTTTATTCCTAGTAGCTGCTGTGGGGCTCTGTTTGTGATTTGTACTAAACACAGTGATATTAATACAGAGATGTTTTTGTTGTCAGCATATCAGAGATAAATTACTTGACAACAGTCTGTATTAAAGACTGATATCCCGATTGGCTGAGGAGGAAAAAATCTTGTAAAAAGAAAACAGTATGTTGTATTCCTCCATGAAAACAGAGTAATTTCTGAGATGGGAGGATGTCTAAGATGTGGGCTGGAGGAAAGGAGGAAGGGGAACTGACAGTAAGGGTACATTGTTGTATGTAACACAATGCATGATTTCTTTTACACAAGGAAGACTACCACAGATGAGATTTTAAAACATGACACTTGGATACATCTTGGGCATAGATGCCCCAGACATAAGGTCATCAATTCTTTCTTTCTGTTGGTTGTATCATGACTGGAAATCAGTCTGGTCATGTTCTTGTGTTTAAAATAAGCAACATTTGCATAGAATGTCAGCAGAAGTAGTAGTATGCACTGAATTTAAAGCAAATGCAAACATTTGTTTGGTTTGGGTGTTTTTTCCAAGTGTTAAAAATGTAAGAGAGAGCAAATCAAAAAGTATGATGTACAACATCCTGGCTGTTTACCCTAAAAAACATATTCCAAATAGCTATTTTTAGGAAAAACTAAACAAAACAACTTCTCACTTTGAAATTAAGCTCTTCCCTGTTTCTTCCACTGTATTTGTGAAACAAAATGTAGAGCTCCTTGTTTTGGAAAGGGAAAAAAAAAAGGTACCTCAACTCCAATTGTTTCCCTGCAGAGACTGACAAGCTGAACTACTGAGCCACAGTTTCTAGATTTACTTACTTTACACAGCAAGCAAGGGCAAGAGGAATAGCAAGAGCAAGTCTGAAAAACCTTTGGAAAAGACAACAGCCAAAAATTCAAACATGGATGGAGGTAGAAGCAGTTTTTAATTATAACACTGTTAGAAAAAAAAAAGCTGCAGAAAGACTTGTTGGGTTTCAATTCATCCAAGTCTTGTCAATCACCATTTGTTGCCAGGCACAAAAATGAAGTGAATATGAGAAGTTTTTGCATAAGAGTTGTAGAATATTGTCACTAACCCACCCCCACACACCCATTTTATTTCACACTGACAAAAGCTGAGATGAATGAGTTGTGGTCTGGCCCTTCCCACTTCGTATAGTCATTGGCTGGCTTGGTTCTAAAAAGGATTTTAAAAAGGGGAATAATGTGCCTTTGCCTTGGATCTGAAGCTGTCAGAGTGCTGAAAAGCTGATCTGTGAGCTGCCACCATGCAGATCTCTTGGGCTGTGTGCGCTGTCTGTGTCTTGGCACAAATCGCGTTTCGGTCTGTGGAAGGGTGGCAGGTGTTCAAAAATGATGCTACAGAAATCATTCCTGAAATCACTGAGAATACAGAAACACCGGTGGAGCAGACTTTCAGCAACAACAACACAATGAATCAGGCAAAACATGGAGGAAGACACATACAGCAAGCTCCAGACCCCAATGGTAAGAAAAATATCATTATTACTGTTTTGGACCCTAAGAGACAATTTGCAAAAGAATACTTTTTATATGTTTGTTTATTAAAACTTTTAGGCATGGCCCAAATGCTTTAAGTGATAAAGATTTACATCTACTATTGAAGAAGTATGAATATAAAGGTTAGAAGGAATAGTGTGGAGTTTAGTGATGACAACATGGTCTCTCTGTTGAACATTGCTGCTCTGCCCATTTGCTCTCTGCAATCTCCAATACATAAAACTTGTAGTAGATGTTATTTAACATTTCTCTGTGGTTTGTGCTCTCAAGCATCATGAGGAAATAGCACAATTTCTCTCTAATGTTAGGATGGGGGAATGGGTTGACAGTGGAGATACAAGTTCTTAATATTTAGGAAGACCCACACTGGTTGTGACTAAGATCACATCAAAAATGGCACATGGAGGTTGTGTTCAGCAACACAAGAGAAGTGGTGCTGTTCACTGTCTTTTGCTAACAACCAGATCTTCCGAAAGATTCCAGCAGCCAAAAATGCTTCATAATATGTTGTCACATTTAACCAAACATCCAGCTTCAACAGTGATGCAAAACACGTGTTTTTGTGAGGAGAGACAGAGGATGAGAAGCTAAAACCAAGCTGAGAAAGGCAGTTTTTAAAAAGTTTTCCTCTGCAGATCTGAATTATCCTTCTTTTTCTGGGGACAACTGAAAGGCAATTGTGATTTT